AACTACAAGTCCCATAAGGCCTTGCAAAACTCTGTCACAGGCAAGACTCCCAGAGGCAGAGGCATGATGGGACTTGTAGTACTTCAACGGCTGGAGGGTCCATAATTTGGAGACCCCTGGTCTAGTGAATGAATAGACGGTGTTCTTACAAAATGATTTAAAGTGACCCTGTCGCTGATATCTGAATCGAAGACGGACGTCCATTCGCTGATTTGTGCGGTCCCTGACCTATCCTGAGGGTGCGGTGGGACTGCGTTGGGCGGATATTCCAGTGTAGTCCCTCTGCATGCATGGAAGAAAAATATATTTGAAATATATTTTTAAAATATTCTGCACAAATATATTGACATTTATTTAAAATAGTACAATTTTACCCATATTCAAAAAAAAAAAAAAAAAAATATATATATATATATATACACACACACACTGTATGTTGAAATGCTTTTTTATTACAAAATATATAAAAACTATTTTTAAAAGTACACTTTAAGTATATTGTATTTCGTCTTTAAAATACAAATCTACATTTTTGGAATGCATTCACAAATATATGTTAAAATGACTTTTTGATATGTTAAAAAAAAAAATCAGAAGAATATATTTAAAAAAATATATATTTTTAAAAATACATATGTTATATTTTTGTAAATGCATTCCAAAAATGTAGATTTGTATTTTTAAAGATGTACAGTATATTCGAAATGTATTTTTAAAAATATTTTTCATATATTTAGTAATAAAAACGCATTTCAACATATATATATATATATATTATTTTAAAAATACAGTTCGAATATACTGTACGTCTTTAAAAATACAAATCTACATTTTTGGAATGCATTTACAAAAATATAACATATGTATTTTTAAAAATATATATTTTTTAAAATATATGCTTCTAATTTTTTTTTTTTTTTTTTTTAACATAACAAAAAGTCATTTTAACATATATTTTAAATGCATTCCAAAAATGTAGATTTGTATTTTTAAAGACATACAGTATATTTGAAATGTATTTTTAAAAATATTTTTCATATTTTGTAATAAAAATGCATTTCAACATAAATATAAATATATATATATATATATATATATATATATAATATATATATAATTATATATTAAATATATATATGCAAAGCTCTGCGTAAATTGCTGGCGCTATATAAGTACCTGAAAATAAATTAAAAAAATAAAATAGGCAGCGCTTCAAAAGCCCCCACAGGTCATCGGTTTACAGAGGGGGTCCTGTGCTAGAATCATTGCTCCCACTCCAGAGTGCGTTGTGATATGTAACATGTACCGTAATCACCGTTTCCACTCGTAGGCGCCCTGATGTATGTGTTTATGTTCATATGTGGGAATGGGGGGGAGCTCAAAGAATTTTTTTTTTGGGGGGGGATGTTATGTATTTGGGTGTAACTTTTTATTTTTTTTCAATAACAAATTTTTTTTTTTTTACTTTTTTATCACATAGGGAGCACAAAGTCCCCTAAGTAATGATTTTTAGGTGACAGGTTCTCTTTAATGAGACACGCACGGTCTAAAGGGGGGGTACCAGTACCGGGGCTGTGCAAGCAATTGGGTGACAGTGGAGCTGCCCGACTTCTTCCACCTGACAGGCAGGAGTCTGCCCGTCAGTTTTATACCCAATCCCGGTGGCTGAACCCTCTGGATTGGGTTTGAACCCCCTCCAAAGTACACTGTTCTGAACAATGTCCGGAATGACCCATTTTACTCAGATTTTCAGTATCGGTTCACATTGCACATCGCATGAGATTCGCACAGGAATTGCACCACATCGGCACCAACATTGTGCGTGACCCTTTTTATTTTTTATTGTCTGCTCCAAAATCAGATTGCATGAATGTCCACACTCCCGTGATCCGATTCTGCACATCGCACCGCATTTTGCAGACCAATATTGGGGCGTCGTTAACATGCACACCCACAACGGTTCGCATGAACGGGGTGCGATTTTGATGCGGTGCAGGAATCGCACAGACACCGGTATCAGTGTGAACCGACACTCGGAGAGAAACACACTATACCCAGCATGCACAGCATCCCTGACCTCACTAATTAAACTCTAGGCTGCTACTGAACGCGCCTCTTTCAATTAACCCCTCCCCCTCCAGAGGATTCCCCCCCTTCCTGTCCAGGCTGTTTCTTTACGTTATGGCACCCCATTGACAATTGCGCAGTTCGTGCAATGCTGCACCCAAATGAAATTTACGTCCTTTTTTTCCCACAGTATAACCATGGCTCAACCAACTGTTTTTTGCCACCCCATAGCAACATGTGTGAATGACCCTAAGGCTGGCCATACATTATACAATTTTCTTGAAAATTTTGCTTTAAACCACATGCCGCCCAGCCACTGTAGAAATACGGCGGCAGGGCGGCACGGCTGGGCAAAACCACGTTTTAAAACGTGTGTTTGCAAAACAGGTAGGGGCGCGCGCGCGAGGTGCGCCACCGCCCTACCTGTCCCACCGATCACGGCCGCGGATGTCAGTCGCCGGGTCACAGCCGGTCGTTACCGGCTGTGTCCCGCCGATTAGCGGCAATCACTGACAGAGAGCACGGCTGCAGTAGCTCTGCTCTCTGTCAGTTTCCCTGTCAGCTCCTGACATGCTGAACAGAGAGAAAAGTTTCTCTCTCCCGATCAGCATCTCCCCCCCCTGCAGTACACACCCCGCACCCTAGTAAAACACGCCCCTCACACAGTTAACCCTTTCAGTAAGTAAATAAACTTAACCCCTTCCTCCCCAGTGCCATTAGTACAGTGTCAGTGTTTTTTTTTTTTTTTTTTTTTTTTGCACTGATCACTGTATTGGTGTCACTGGGATGTCAGTGACCCCAAGTCAGTTCCCCCCAATGTCAGAATGTCTGCCGCAGTCTCGCCATAAGTCCCTGATCGCCGCCATAAGTCGCTGATCGCCGCCATAAGTCACTGATCGCCGCCATTATTAGTATAAAAAAAAATATTTAAAATCCCAGTATCTTTCCCGCCATTTGTAAACGCTATAACTTTCACGTAAACCAGTTAATTTACACGTATTGGTTTTTTTTTTAGGAAAGACGTCGCAGAATGCATTTTGGCCAAAATTTATGATGAAATTTGATTTTTACATTTTTTTTACTGGACATGTTTTATAGCAAAAAGTCCAAAATATTGTTTTTTTTTTCTCAAAATTGTCAGCCTTTTTATTATATAAATATTATTATATAAATTGTCAGCCTTTTATACCGAAGAAAGCTCTATTTGTGTGGGAAAAAAAAAGGGACGTAAATTTTGTTTCGGTGCAGCATTGCAATGACTGCGCAATTATCAGTTGAATTAGTGCAGCGCCGAGTAGCAAAAAGAGGCGTGGCCATTAAGGGGGGTAAATCCTCTGGAGGGCGAGGGTTAAATTTACCAAAAACCATATAATGAGGTGAAACCTAAACAACACTTTCAATTGTATCCAATTAGACAGGCCCTTGTACTACATAGTTGAAGGTAAATCTATAGGAAATTGGACAGAAAATTGTATAGTGTATGGCCAGCCTTACACAGGTCAGGAATCCAAAGATTTGTCCTTAAAAATGGTATGAAATTTCACAGATCTGACTAGGAACATATACACTATATTGCCTGCAGTATTGGGCTGCCGCCCCTTCCCCCGCACATGACCTTTAATGGCCCCCAGTCTTAGTCCGTAGGGTTCAATATTGAGTTGGCCCCACCCTTTCCCCCCACACACGACCTTTAATGGCCCCCAGTCTCAGTCTGTAGGGTACAATATTGAGTTGGCCCCGCCCTTTCCACGCACATGACCTTTAATGGCCTCCCAGACTTACCCATAGGGTTCAATATTGAGTTGGCCCCGCCCTTTGCACACACATGACCTTTAATGGCCCCCCAGTCTTAGTTCTGTAGGGTTCAGTATTGAGTTGGCCCCGCCCTTTGCAGCTATAACAGCTTCACCTCTTCTGGAAGGCCCCCCACAAGGTTTAGGAGGGTGTCTATGGGAAGGTTGGACCATTCTTCCAGAAGCACATTTGTCAGGTCAGGCACTGATGTCGGGGGAGGAGGCCTGGCTCGCAGTCTCCGCTCTAATTCATCCCAAAGGTGTTCTATGGGGTTGAGGTCAGGACTCTGTGCAGGACAGTCAAGTTCCTCCACCCCAAACTGGCTCCTCCATGTCTTTATGGACCTTGCTTTGTGCACTGGTGTGCAGTCATGTTGGAACAGGAAGGGGCCATCCCCAAACTCCTCCCACAAAGTTGGGAGCATGAAATTGTCCAAAATGTCACCTTAAAAGTTCCCTTCACTGGAACTAGGGGGCCAAGCCCAACCCCTGAAAAACAACCCCACACCATAATCCCCCCTCCACCAAACTTTACACTTGGCACAATGCAGTCAGGCAAGTACCGTTCTCCTGGCCACCGCCACAAACCTAGACACGTCCATCGGGTTTGCTAGAGAAGCATGATTGGTCACTCCAGAGAACACGTCTCCTCTGCTCTAGAGTCCAGTGGCGGCGTGCTTTACACCACGCCATCCGACGCTTTGCATTGCACTTGGTGATGGAAGGCTTGGATGCAGCTGCTCGGCCATGGAAACCCATTCCATGAAGCTCTCTACACACTGTTGTTGGGCTCATCTGAAGGCCACACCAAGTTTGGAGGTCTTTAGCTATTGACTCTGCAGACAGTTGGTGACTTCTGCGCACTGTGCGCTTCAGCATGCGCTGCTGACCCCGCCCTGTCATGTGACGTGGCCTACCACTTGGTGGCTGAGTGGCTGTTGTTCCCAGTGGCTTCCACTTTGTTATAATCCCACTAACAGTTGAGCGTGGAATATTTAGTAGCCAGGAAATGTCACGGATGGACTTATTGCCCAGGTGGCCACCTATCACGGGACCTACGCTTGGAGTCACTGAGCTCCTGAGAGCGACCCATTCTTTCAACCAATGTTTGTATAGAAGCAGTCTGCATGCCTAGGGGCT